TTATATTTATTGCTATGTAAGAAAAATTTATTAACATATTATAAGTGAGAAACATAGTAGTATATTATAACTATAGGTTAAAAACATATTAATTAAATTTTGACTATCCTCACCATGGTAGACAAGATAGCAAACTAGTAGAACCATTACAAATTTATTATTAAATGTTACACAATATTTATTTATTCATATTAAATTAGTAGAACCATTACAAACTTATTATTAAATGCTGCACAATATTTATTTATTCATATTAAATTAAATTGACAGTTTAAATGATTTAACTAGTTAAATGGATCAAATTAAGACTTGAAGGTCAAAATGATTTAACTTCCAAATTGATTTTTAAAACACTATTTCAAACCCCAATCTCTATGTATATCTGTTTTTAGGTAACTTATCTTGCAATTTTGATGAGTGATGACCCTGTATGCTCATATTTTCACTTAATTTTTTTTATCATTTTTCATAATTTTAAAATTTTAAGGAGTTGTTTACAATATAATTATAAATATAAAATTGTTCAAAAATAGAGATAATTTCAAGAAATAGTTGAGTATCTCAATTATGCATGGTAAGAGTTAATGATGAGATTAGCTGTGACTATGAATTAAGATAACAAAAAATGACTCAATTGAAAGTGAAGAAAGGTGATCAGTGACTAAATTTACAAATTAAAAATAAAATGGCTAAATTAAAAATTATGATAAAAATAGGTGATTTTACATTTACCTTACCCAACTTTTTTTTTTTTTATCTTTTTTCTTTCTCAACGGGTTAGCATATGTTTTTATAAGAAAGAAAAGAGAAAAGAAGTCTCAAGGGGATTTAATTGGTTAAAATTAAAGTTTGAATCTTTAATTAGTTAGGAAGAGTTTTGAAAAAAAGAAAAACGCTTATAACCTATCATTTGGTGCCAAAAAAAAAAAAAGAAAAAAAGAAAAGAAGAAGAAGACAAAGAAGAATGCAATCTGGGAAGAAATGGAAAGTCTTACATACCTAGTTGAGATATATAGCTTCTTCTATGTCAGATAGCAAATTCCACCGACTGCTTGAGAATAATTAATGTAAATCTATACTCTTTGGAGTAGAGTATAGATTTCACCAAGATGATGCAATATCTGGAGAAGGATGTGACGTAAATCTCTAGACTCTTTGGAGTAGAATATGGATTTCACCAAAATGATGCAATATCTGGAGAAGGGAGTGCAAACACAGGTCATAAGTTGTAGACTTGTACCATAACCAATACTACAAAATCATCAAAAAAAAAAAAAAAGGCAGAAGAAGAAGAAGGTACGTAGATAGGTAGGTGGAAGTAAATACTTACTGAGTTTGTAACTAAGCATGTGTAGTTGATTGCTTCCACTCGATCTGGCTTTGAGATTCTCTTAATATGCAGTAGATCATTTAGATCTGCTTTAGAATGATTTTATATATCAAGATCAAAAGGAAAATGAAAATTAGCTAAAGAAACG